GTCACGCTTTTCAGTTTGTGTTTTGTCAGTGCATGGCGTCGATAGGTTGCTTGGCGGGGATGATTGTCGTGACGTCATGGGAGGGGTGGTTGTGCGATGGGAGTGACGTCGTATTGTCGTGACGTTATGGGAGGGGTGATTGTCGTGACGTCTCGTGACGTCATGGGTGGTTGTGACCGTGACGTCATGGGAGGGGTGGTTGTCGTGACGTCATGGGAGGGGTGGTTGTCGTGACGTTATGGGAGGGGTGTGACGTTGTCGTGACGTCATGGAGGGTGTTGTCCGTGACGTTATGGGAGGGGTGGTTGTCGTGACGTCATGGGAGGGTGGTTGTCGTCATGGGAGGGGTGGTTGTCGTGACGTCATGGGAGGGGTGGTTGTCGTGACGTCATGGGAGGGTGATTGTGCGTTGTCGTGACGTCATTAGAGGGGTGGTTGTCGTGACGTCATGGGAGGGGTGGTTGTCGTGACGTTATGGAAGGGGTGATTGTCGTGACGTCATGGGAGGGGGTGGTTGTCGTGACGTCATGGAGGGGTGATTGTCGTTGACGTCCTGGGAGGGGTGGTTGTCGTGACGTCATGGAGGGGTGGTTGTCGTGACGTCATGGGAGGGGTTTGTCGTGACGTGGGGGTTGGTTTGTCGTGACGTCTGTCGTGACGTCATGGAAGGGGTGGGGGTACTGGGACAGTATAGAGGGGGTGAGTGATTGTGGGTGGGAGGAGAGAGAGAGAGAGAGAGAAGAGAGAGAGAGAGAGAGAGAGAGAGAGAGAGAGAGAGAGAGAGAGAGAGAGAGAGAGAGAGAGAGAGAGGAGAGAGAGAGAGAGAGAGATAGGGGAGATCCCTCCCTCCGTATCCTCTAACGCGTGCTCTGACCCCCCCCCCCCCACCCTTTGAAACCATCGCTCGGAATTCTTGAATAGAAGGCGAAAGGAAGCGGAGAGGAGAGGAGATAATAGATCAGCTCTCCTCGGGAATATAAGAGCAAGGATTAGAAGACGGAGACGTGAGCCTTACGGGCGGAACGGGGGGTGGGGGGAGGGGGGAGAGACGACGTCGCGTAGGCCTACCCTGGCTGCGCCCTCGTCTCCGTAGGCCGTGGCGCGAGCAGGTTGACGGAGGGCTGTTTCGCCGCCCGCCGTGGGGGTGGGGGTGGGAGGAGTCGTGGCTCGGGTGGGGTGGGTTGTTTGAATGAGTGTGTGGTGTGTGTGCTGTGTGTGTGTGTGTGTGTGTGTGTGTGTGTGTGTGTGTGTGTGTGTGTTGTGTGTGTGGTGTGTGTGTGTGTGTGTGTGTCTGTGTGTGATGTGTGTGTGTGTGCGTGTCTATGTGTGTGGTGTCTGTGTCTGTGTCTGTGTGTGTGTCCGTGTGTGTGTGTCTGTATCTGCGTGTGTGTACAAGTCGCAGCGGGAAACCCATGACGGTCAAACCGAAAGGCGAGCGTCAGCCTGGTACAGACGGCGCGAAGGAGCGTTTTGTACCTAAACGTGTTTTGTCTGTTCCAGCTGCGGGATTAACGTCTTTTATTATTGTTGTTTGTTTTTTATGAGATTGGTTTCCGAATCGTTTGGCAATGGCGTTGGCGCGGCAGCCGTTGCGGACCTTCTATCCACTGCCGGTCGGTGGTTAGGTGGGTTTTATTATATTTTTGTGATTTTGTTGTTTTTTTGTGTTGTTCGTGGTAGATGGTCAGTGTATATGGTTAAGGCAGGTGTTGGGTGCGTCGTAACTGGAATTTTTTTATTTATTTTTTTAATTATGTCATAGTTATGTATTATTATTGTTGTTGTTTTACCTTGCGGTGTGCACGTGCGTGCGTGCGTGCTTGCGGCATTTGTGCGTTCCAAGTGCGCCCCAGGGATTGTGCGCGAGGGGCGTCGGGGGATGAGTGTCTGCGGCGTAAGCGCGCGTGACAGTGACGAGGGCGCTGGCCGCTCAGCCGCCCGTGCCCGGCCTTGGCAGCGAGGCCAGCGAGGACGGCTGCCGCTCTGACTCACACGCCCGCCGCCGCAGCAGAGTCACGCTGCTTCGCCCGGGGGTGGGGTGGGGGTGGGGGGCTCCCTCGGGCTCTGTCGCCCTTGGTCACGCTCAGGCTGGGTCCGGCCTGCTCGGCCTCCCTCTCGCTCCTCTTTCGCTTCTCTTTCGCTGCTTGGCTCGTGTCTCTGTCCCTTCCCTCTGTTCCTTCCCCTCCTACGTTCCTTTCCATTCCCTCCATCCTCATCCACTGCCCCCTCTGCCCCTCCCTGTCCCCCTCCTCTCCCTCCTTTCCCTCCTCTTCCCTCCTCTTCTCTCTTCCACTCCCCCCACTCCTTCCCTCCCGTTTTCCNCAGGGCGAGGGAGGGGGGGCAAGTGCGTTACCCTTAGGAGTTGGTAGGAGTTGCGTTAAGGGAGTCCTGCGAGGGAGTGCTTGGGAGGAAAGGGGGGGGGGATGAGGCAAGTGCGTTACCCATAGGTAGGAGTTTGCGTTCAGAGAGGGATTAAAGGGTCCGTGTGGTGGAGGGTGAAAGAGGTGAGGGGTAGGGTGCACTAAGCCGCGGCAAGGGGTGAAAAAATGAGTTGGGGGGGAAAGAGGAGGGGGAAGAAGGCGAAATCGTTGAAGAGATGGGGGTGTTGAGTACTGGATTGCAGACCCGATCGCGAATTGCGGATGACGAGAGCCACTTCTACTCCGAAAAGGAGAGGCATTTTCCTGCCATCGGAGAGAAGGAAAAGCTCGTGATTGGAGGGTGGATAACTAAGGCAGATTGAACTTAGGGAGGAGTGTGAGAATAGATACATTTCGAAATAAAAAAATGTACAATTTTTAACTAAACGTAATTACGATCCCAATACAACCGTCCCTGAGCGATCATAAAGCACCACACATCGCGAGAACATCACCCGCCGGTTTTGCGCAATGGAGCGCCTCCTCGTGTTGCGTCGGGCGCGCGGAAGCCAATCTCAGCCGAGGAGCGACGACGTAAGGTTTCGGCGGAGGGAGCGAAACGGCGGACCAGGGGCGCGCGCTGGCCGGTGTCTCGTTACGCCGAATGTCAGATGATACCGGAACGCGTGACTGTTTTCTCTCTCGATGCTGCTGATTATACGGATTCTACTGACGGACTTTACTGACGATACTCCTGAGCGATTCAAAAAACCCGGATGTAGTCTAAGAATGCGGAAGAGTCGAGGGAAATTTTCCATCACAAGTTCATACAATGATCCCTACCGATACAAAGTCAAAGAGCGAGCATAACGAAAGTGAAACAAGTGACATGAGAATATTCCGGCAATGCAGGAAGTGGCGGAAGCGGAATAACGGTGAGAATAACATCCAGAAGGCGAGGGGGGGGGACCTTGCGACCGCTGGGAAGGTCATGGGCGAAGGTGAAGGTCTCTCTGGAAAGCTGAAAAAAATCGGGTAAAGGGATTGAAGGAGAATTTGTACAAATGCTGTTAATGCTAGAATTTATGATGGCGATATTAGCAGTGAAGTTGGTGATCGCGGTAGTAATTATGAGGACGAGAACAGTAGTGGAAATGAATAAACGAACAAATTAAAAATCGGTGGTATTTTCACCTTCCCATCCCGATCACCATGTTTGCAGAGGAATAAAATCCTACGCGATTCTCCTACTGTAAAGAAAACCAACCGCAATGTTTCGCACTCGGAAGCAGGAAGGGAAATCCCTCCTTCCCCCTCCCCTCCTCCCTCCTCCCCCATCCCCTCCCCTCCCGCCCACCCAGCCCCAGATGGCGCCCCTGGATTAATGCGAGTCTTCCTGGCCGAGGCGCTCACAGGTGCTGCTATTACGGCCGTCTGTGCCCTGCTAGGACGCCACGCCTCGTCTTGCTATTAGTCTGGAATGTGTGGAGTTTGTTTTTGGGAGGCCTGCTAGCACCGGGGTCGTTAAGCCTCGTAATGGCGTGCGTTTTGTCATCGAAGAAGGGCCGCCGAGACAGGTTGATGGGCGTGGGTCGGTTCGGATTTGGAGTGGGCTGGGAAGAGCGCGCGGTGGAGGCTCGGCAGAGGATTTTTTTTTTTTCTTTTTTTTTATGGAGGGGGGTGATTACTAGGTGTCACATATCGTGTGTGTCACAGTTATTCTTTCCTATTTTTTTCGTGAGCGTTGGAGAACGAGGAGCCAGGCCAAAGAGTAGCCCAAAAACGGATTTCAAGGAGAACCTCTTTCCTCCCCGGGCTAGGCGTACGCACACTCGCAATTACAATCACGCAAACAAACAAACACACTCACTCACTCACTCACTCACTCAACCTTACACTCATTTGGCTGGATTGTTTCCTTAGACGTTAAAAAGGCGTAAATAAGACTGTTATGTAAATTAGAGCACCCAAGTGGAGTGAAAGACAAACTTCTACATGAAAGACAATTGAGTACAGTAATTAGAGAGAAACACACAACATGGAGACGAGTAACTAGCGGAGTACCTCATGGATCGGTCTTGGCGCCGATTATGTTTATTATTTTCATCAGAGTTTTAGCGTCAATCATAAGCTCAAGTATCTCCATCAGTATGTTTGCAGACGACGCGAAATACAAGAAAGGATAATAGACAACGTCTCTTGCAAATGCCTCCCAAGGAACACCGAAAACTTATTCCTGTGGAGTTGTACTTGGAAAATGAAATTCAACACCAGTAAATGCGATGTAGTCGGGCTCGGGGACAGTGGGAATCGATCCCTAAGTCACTACAAGGTAGGAAGCTCAGTATTAAACACGGCAGAGAGGGAAACAGGCCTTGGAATAATCATGGCCAAGAACTCGAGCCCAGATGATCCTATCAATGAAAAGGCCCATAAAATACTAGGGCTGATTGCCAACATGAAGAGGACATTCATATATGCGGACAGAGATATGATAAAAAAGACCGTTTACAGCCATCATAAGACCTGTTCTAGAGTCCATTGGTGCAAGGGTAATGAGTCCATAATGGAAAAGGATATAGACAAGCTGGAACTTACTTCTAAGAGCATCCACATGATGGGCTCCGACTCTTAAGAGATATGAGCCACGAAGATAGACTACATAAAATAGGACTTACTACTTTGGGTGAAAGAAGAAAACGGGGGACATTGACAAAGTTGTTCTGCTATGTCACAGGAAGTGTGGAGTTAGAAGAAGACGGCCTCTATTTTGATCACCATGAGAACAAGTGAATACAGTAAAAAGGGGCGAAGTAACGTTGTATGCCAAAGCAAGTGCACCAAATTAAAAAGTTACATTATAATTTAAATATAGCATACGAGACGCTCTGAGCTTAGCTATTCCCATAGTGGAAGAAACTAGGTAAGAACACGCGCGCACAGACACAGACACGCACGCACACACTCACAAACATACACACACTCACAAACACACACACACTCACAAACACACACACACACACACACACACACACACACACACACACACACACACACACACACACACACACACACACACACACACACACACACACACACACACACACACTTACACTTCACACACTTACCACTTCACACACTTACACTTCACACACTTACACTTCACACACTTACACTTCACACACTTACACTTCACACACTTACACTTTACACACTTACACTTCACACTCAACGCTACACTCCACATTCCACACACATACTCTCACTCTCACTCTTTCTCACTCACACACTCACTCGCATTTACATTCACGTACGCAGATACACTTACGTATGGACATGTGAATTCACCTAATTCTTGCATATATTTTGGTAATTTCTATCAAATCGTGTTGCCTATAACACAATCGTTTACATTAGGTCTTGTAAACATCTACGGTGTAACGCTGTGCCTCTGTGCCGGTCGTTCTTGCAAGAATACGTAAGCGAGGATATTCTTAGATGCCTTACGTGTTTATTTTTTAATATTCTGTGTAACACGCACAAATTAAGAATTAATAAAAACGTAGAATGAGTACCTTTGAGAAAATAAAGAAGTTGGCGCTGAAATTTATGTTGAAGCAGTCGTTTTCTGTATCTTACTAAGGCACTCAAAGAAAACGAATTTTAGCGTAAACTATTGAAAATTATTACTAATATGAAAATAACTGATTATTGTTCCATATCATAATGTGTATATTTAAGACGAATGAGATATGTTATAGTTCAATTATCTGTAGGAAGCTAGGAGACGGAATGAATTTGTGGATCTGTAAGGAATATGAATAAGGCTGTATCTAGAGCTTAGTTTTAGACAAATTTATTTATTTATTACAGAGGGGTTAATAGTGGGAATAAATATATATGTGCAAATATAATTTCTCAGAGGATAAAGCTGTAATTAGTTCATAAAAAATCAATGACATTAATCCTAAATGTCCCCTAACGTATTTTTTGTTCAATCTTTTAACATCCTCCTACTTCCCACGGGTCAGCATGATCAGATTAAAGCGAAAATCCTCATTACCATTTGTCCGTTATTCCATATTGATATAACAATCATTATAAGACATTATGACATTAGAATCATTCATTTTTTTTCTCATGTCTCAAGTTATACATTTTGATACATTTTGATACAGTACTGGAGGAATTAGATTGCTGATCATTTGATTACAAACTAAAGACCATTTTATCCTTACTACGCAAATGTTTTGAGATAGCCATTTCCACACAACTTCCACCCTTACATGCTGCTCCCTCGTCCACAGCGCCGCACTGGCCGACGCCTCACATCAGCGGGGCATTCGGACAGCTCTGGCCTGTCGTCGCCTTCAGAGGACCGTCGGCCCCTGAACAGGAAGCCCCCGGGATACCGTGGGGCCAACCAGTCCTTCAGGGAGTCATCGGAGTTCAGGGTCGGGGAGGCTGTGAGGGAGCTGAGTCCAAGGGGTCCCATGAAGAACTCGACCTCGCTGCCGCACTTCTCTTCCGGTGAGGCTGAACCAAACTTTTGACTTTTTTTTTTCTTTTCCTTTTTGTATTTTTACGGTAGTGTAGTGCTGTTTCTAGTTTTCTTTTTTATGTGCCTTTTGTGTACTACTTCATTTCATCTACTTCTTTTACTCCTCCTTTTCCTTCTCCCTCCTCCTCCTCCTCCTCCTCCTCCTCCTCCTCCTCCCTCCTCTCTTCTCTCTGTCCTCTTCCCCTTTCCTTCTCCTCTTTTCCCTCCTGTCCCCTCCTCTTCTCCCCCCCCTCCTTCTTCTCCCTCCTCCTTGCACTTGCTCCTCCTCACTTCACTTCTCCTCCTCCTGCTTTTTCTCCTCCTCCTCTTCACTCTTCCCTCCCTTTATATCCCTTCTCCTCCTCTTATCCTCTCCTCCCTCTCTCCCTCCTCCTCCTCTCTCTCCTCCCCTCTTCCTCAGTCTCTCTCCTCCCTCTCTCTTTCTTCTTCTCTTCTCCTCCTGCCTTTTCTTCTTCCTTTTCCTTACTCTCTTTTCCTTCTTCTTCTTTTCCTCCTTTCTTCATCTTCCTCCTATCCTCTCTTCTTCCCTTCCTTCTCCTTCTTTCTTCTCCTCCCCCTCTTCTTTTTTCTTTTCTCCTC